TCTAATCAAATTCGGCCTTTTGTTGTGTCGATTTCTTGCTTTTCTATTTTTAATGGCGGTCGAATATATTACAGGGGGTGAGGCTGAGGGTGGTGGGAGTGTGCGACAGTAAATCCATGGTGGTCAAAACTGATTTTCTGATTTCCGAATTGGATGATGAGTTTTTGCTGCGACTTTGCGAAGTCAAGTCCAGTGGATCTTCCCTTGGGGAGCTTGCTGATTTTGGTACGTTCCATTTTGCGTCCATGTGCTGTTTGCCGAAATGCGTCAGTTAGTCTTTTACTGATGTGTTGCATAGGAGTCATGTTGTTTTCTCCGTGAAAATGCAGGTGAGTGTGAAGTTGTTTTGGGTCATCAAATCGAGAGGAAAATCGTGGATGTTGCTGCCACACTTAGTAAATCTAGTGGTATGATACAGTTTTATGATCCTTGTGATATTTCAGTCATTGTCACTTGATCCTGCCTTCTCAGCCCTTGCAAGATATTCACTACGTATATGCATAATGTACAACGTTGGTTGTTCTCTGGTTCCGATATCTTACTTTTTAAGTTTCAAATTCAAAGTAGCATCCCAATTTATGGGTAAATTTTTTACAGGATTGGTGGTTGTTGACTGCTCAGCCAGCTCTGAAACTATTTCCTTGTTGAATCAAGTTGTGAGTTTATATTGTTGCGTGGTTCTGGCAAACAAGAAGCCTCTTACTTCTCCACTGGTAATGTGATTCTTTTACATCTATGCTTTCGAAATTCTTATTTCTTGGAAAAAGCGATAAGATTTTGAGCTCAAATCGTGGGATCGTGACTGATGGTTGAGCTCCGCCGTCATTGATAAAAATACTTCAACCTTTTCAATTTTATCACTTAAGGGATATAATTTCCGACACCATGAGTGGTAATGTAACAGTGCTCCTCCTCATGATATGCAGGAACATTATGACAAGCTGGTCTCACGACATAGGCGAATTAGATACGAGTCAACCGTAAGTGTTATTGGGTCCTTTGTTTCACGAGCTTTGATTTTTATACGATGAAGATGAAATGCCTTATCAACAGGTTATACGATCTTCCTGTGTTTACAAATTAAACCTTCATATAGACTAGATAACCATAAGGTGTTACATGGCTATCAAATATTTTTTCCCCTTTGTTCCTTAAACCTGGAAATTTTACTATATTTACGCTTCATCTTAATCTAGTGATTTTATTTGGATCAAGAGTTTTGTGTTGCTTTATCCGCGCATGAGTTTAGCTAGGCATTTAGCTCATTCCTGATACCTTTTCAATCAGCCTGTATGTATTGTCTGACCTGCTTTGCAAATCCGGGGGAGGATAACTATTTTCTTAACAATTTACATGATAGGTTGGTGCTGGTCTTCCAGTCATCTCAACTATAAATCGTATCCTTTCATCAGGAGACCCGATCTCCCGCATTCTGGGAAGTTTGAGTGGTAAACTCTATTACATGCTTTACCATGAGCATGAACTTTCTTCTCTTTCCCCATTTATGCGTTCAGCCTGGAATTTGCAAGTCTCATGCTTCTGATATCAGGTACGCTGGGCTATGTGATGAGTGAGGTTGAAAGTGGAAGGCCCTTTAGCCAAGTAGTCAATGCTGCAAAACACCTCGGATACACTGAACCTGGTAATGTAATTAGTTCATATGTTGCTATAGTAATATTCCTAGTCAGCCTCGAGTTTTTTCAAGTTTACATGTAGAACTGAGAAATGTAAACAATAAATTAAGTTCTGTGTTATAGAGCTATTCCATGATTGATGCAGAAGCGTAGCAGATGAAAGGGGAAGAACACGATATAAACTATCAATCTGATAAATTCAATAATAATCTGTCCTCATAATAGCGTAGGGTACAGACTTTATAATGTTCCAACTTTCCTAAGCCTTCTAAACTTGCCTAACAAGCTAGGCCAAGTTATTTATTTAAATACCAAAACAACTTAAATAATTAGAAACTAGATAAAAGGATAAATAATAAATAAGACGTAAATCAACTAGATACGAAGCCGGTCGAACTTATCCAAGAAAGCTATCGCGGCCTCGTCTCCATCATCCTCCCCCGGTTGGGAAGGATTCGGCCTCGAATCCAAAGTGGCCTCGTCTTCCTCGGAATTATCACCAACAAACGGCACAAGGTGTTTGACGTTAAAAACGTCAGAAGTGCGAATATGAGAAGGAAGGCGGAGACGGTACGCATTAGGGTTGATCTTCACAATAATCTCAAGAGGGCCAATTTTCCGAGCCGAGAGCTTGTTGTACTCATGTGCCGAGAACCTGTCCTTCGTCAAAATAGCCCACACGAAATCGCTAACTTCAAAATCCACATGACGACGGTGCGCATCGGCCTGCCGCTTATAAGCGGCCGTGGTCTCCTCCAAACGTGCACGGGTCGACGCATGAATAGCCCCCAAATCGCCGATCAAATCCACGGCCCGCTTGTCAGCCGACGACACATCCGGAACCGGCGCCAAGTCCGCCGGACCGCGGGGCCGAATCCCGTACACAACAAGAAACGGGGAAAAGCCAGTCGCCCTACTCACGGCCGAATTGTGCGCGAATTCGGCCTGGCTCAACTTTTGATCCCAGCTACGAAGGTTATCGCCAACCAAACATCGTAGTAAGTTGCCCAATGAGCGATTCACGACCTCGGTCTGCCCATCGGTCTGCGGGTGATAAGCACTGCTAAAATCCAAACGAGTATGTGCCAAACGCCAAAGACTACGCCAAAAATGGCTCAAAAATCGGGTGTCCCGGTCCGACACAATGGATGAAGGAAGGCCATGTAAACGATAAACCTCCCGGAAAAATAACAGAGCCACATGGACGGCGTCGGTGGTCCGCTTGCACGGAATGAAATGCACCATCTTGGAAAAGCGATCAACCACGACAAAAATCGAATCAAAGCCACGTTGAGTACGCGGCAAACCCAAAACAAAGTCCATACTCACCGCTTGCCAAGGGCG